TTAGACATTGCTCCCTTACACCGAATTGTTTTCTGCTCTGTAGGCTTTCTCCCAACCGAGTTATGAAATTTTTCATAAAGCACTGCTTTTTTAGAGAACGCCCCGCCCACCGGGGGTGGGTCTCCCTAATTCGATGTTACTTACCAATGCACACCTTAGCCCACTTTTTGGCCCAGTTTCGAGGTCGTTTTTTCACTGAAATCGAAATCTTGGTCTTTGGTACAATTCATTTCGACGCACGCCACGCCCTCTGTGGGCGGGGCTCCGCTTAGCTGATGTGTGTTTTGTATTACGTGAGACCCTGCCCACCCATCCCACACTTGACCCGGTCCCTCCAGGCGGATCCCGAGGAGCTAGGGAATTTCGTGACAGACATACAGAACGACAGACAGGGACAGAACGACAGACAGAGGGACAGAACGACAGACGAAGCGCTTTATAGTATGTAAGATAGCGACGACGTGCGCAAGATCCGTGCGTAAGAAGTCTAGCTGATCGCTTCCTTTATTGAGCTGGCACAGCTTTTTTTTATAAATTTTTCAGCTCAAAAAACGGCAAGTGACAATACAGGACAGAACAGTGTCAATATCGCGACGCGTAGCACAGACATCTTCTTCTCAACATTCCAGTCATCCTTCAGTAAGGAAACTGAGTAGAGGGGCTCTGTTCGAATTCAGAAAATCTGAGAGGTGGTAGCCCATTGGTGATAGGAGCAGAGCTGCTGAGAGGTTTAGAGTGAAGGGAATCTTGGAAGACGGGCTTTTTTCTTTGTTAGCGAGTCTCATTGGTGCTAGCATTACCTGCACTAACGCTGCGCTTTTACGATTTGCTAAAACGGCTAGAGCGCTAGAGTCCGGCGGCAGGATAGCAGCTGCGGTAGCCAATCAGTGGGCAAGGGATACCGAAAGGAGAAGTCGTTTCGCGAGTGAATCTGTGCTAGACCAATGAGCGCACGCGTCCTTCCCCGCTCTCTCAGAGAAGCCTGCCTTCGTTTACAGCAGATGTGTTTCCCTCCCTTCCTCTAATTGGTCATAACATCTAACGACTCTTCTTTTCTTTTCTCTTTTTCTTCGTAATTTCGGCTGTTCAGTCCATCATTCCCTTGAGAGTTTCCCCTGTCACTTCTTTCAGAATAACCTCCAAGTAGCACCTTTCAAAAATGGTGGGCGGATACTAAATCAATCGCTTTAGCCGCCAGAGAGGTAAGAGTCTCTTTTGCGACCATTTTTGCGACCAATCTACTGCACTTCCTTGAATTGATAACTTGTTGACAAATGATGTGATTAAATGTTGAAAACTCCATAGAACTCTCACGATTCCTTATCTAGTAGGCACATTTATGCCGTTCCTGAATACACATCATAGCTCTTAGTTTTTTAGCCATCAACTATGTTCCCGTCCCAATCTACACATCTTATATCGGAGCCGACATCTCACCACTTCTGGTAGTTATGCACTGAATTCCTGATCCTTTTATTCTGACGCCTCTTATCAGCCCTTATCAGCTGTTATCAATTGCGGTCTCCCGCGAATTTTTTTTGTTTCACCTCCTATACCGTATCCTAAAATCGACCCCTGATGACTGCTCCGACGTGAGCTATGGATTTTGTGACAGACGGACGTACGCACAGACACGCACACAGACATATACTCAGCGAATTATATATAGTAGGGTC